GAGACAGAGTTTCGCCCTGTCACCCAGGATGGAGTGCAGTGGTGCAATCTCAGCTTGCTGCAACCTCTGCCTCCTGGGTTCAAGTGATTCTCCTGTCTCAGCTTCCTGAGTAGCTGGGATTAAAGGTGCCCACCACCATGCCCTGCTAATTTTTGTATTTTTAATAGAGACGGGGTTTAACTATGTTGGCTAGGCTGGTCTCAAACTCCTGACCTCAAGTGATCCATCCACCTTTGCCTCCCAAAGTGCTAGGATTACAGGCATGAGCTGTCACACCCAGCCCTTAATGCAACTATTGATTGCCATACTTCTCTTAAGGGTACAGCCAGCACCCCCAGACTGGCATGTGATAGCAGTGCCACACTTCCCCACGTAGCAGTGCCATCCAGGAGAGCCCCAAAGCAAGGTATGAGAAGGGCAGCTTACCTTTCTGAAGGACATTTCTACTTGTGTATCACCATTAAAGTTATACTTAGCAATAGCTTCTCCATATTCCAAAACCTGCACTGGTGTCAACTTTTTGGGCTGAGCCTTCTCAGCAGGAGGAAGAAGCTGAGAAAGGCAAAGAGGGTAAAAGAGAACAAGGGAAGAGAAGAAAGCAGGGAAACAAGAGGAAAAGGAGGAAACAAAACACAAGCATTTGGTAAATAAATGGTGCTTTGGACATGGTCAGGCTTTTCCTTAAAAAGAAAAGGGGCTGCAGTACCTCAATGTAGGTGCGTGGGAAGATTCCCACCCGGCCGTGGTGTTCTCCTTCATACCAGTTCTGATCAATTTGCTTATAAATGTAAACAATATCTCCCTTCTGCAGAGGAAGCTCCCTGTCGACAGAGGTCAATGGCATTTTAGCGGATGTTTCAATATGTGTAAGATTAAGACACTTCAGTTTTGTAGCAAAAGGAGACATTTAAGTGGGGTCAAAAGGGACAAATTCCAGAGAGGGGGCTCCATATTTGGAAGTAAAAACTCCGCTATTCAGGAAATTACATCACATTTGGCATTTTTCCAGTCTTTTGCAGGATGGATGTTAACATTCAAATTGACTAGCCCTTGAAAGTGCTCAGAGGCCTTATTAATTTGTTGTGGTTTTCTAAATGAATTTTTTGTGAATGCTCTGTTATGCTCAGACTATTTACACAACACAAAGCAATGCACCCAACTGCCTTAACTGATGTTTGTTAAATGAAGAAACATGTCTCCTTCAGGATACCTTCATGATCCTTGTCTGTGCAAGGCATGCCTTCGTTGCTTTAAACTGCCCTCAAATTATTTGTGATATACTGATATCCTTCTATCATTCCATCTATTTCCCATTTGCCCACTCATCCATTTTACCATCCGTCTTTGTATCATCATGCAGTAGAAAGGTTCTGAAGTTAGGCAGATCTGGTCCAAAAGCCAATTCTGTAATTTACTAGCTCTGGGACCTTGGACACAATACTTAATCTGAGACACTGTTTCTTTAACTGAACTTGGGAGCTAACTCAGAGTTGCTGGAGAATGCTTTGACAATTTAAAAATAAACACCTAGGATGGTGCCTGTTGTACAGGTAGGTAACACTCAATAAATGTTAATTCTATTGCCCTTTTTTTCTTTTTTTTTTTTTTTTGAGTCAGGGTCTCACTCTGCTGCTCAGGCTAGAGTACAAGTAGCATGATCACAGCTCACTGAAGCCTCAACCTCCTGGTGCAAGTGATCCTCCTACCTCAACCTCCCGAGTAGCTGGGACTACAGGCACGTGCCACCATGCCTGGCCAATTGTTATTTTATTTTTATTTTTTTGTAGAGATGGGGTTTCGCCATGTTGCCCAAGCTGGTCTTGAACTCCTGGTCTCAAGTGATCCTCCTGCCTCAGCCTCCTAAAGTGTTGAGGTTACAGGCATGTAGCCACTGCACCCAGCCTAATTCCTTTGCTTTTTAACATAGAATAAGGATCTTGGAAAGAAAAGTAGATTTTCCTTCAAATGCTCTTTGTGTTCCTTTTCAACTTTTCCATATCCATTCCTTTGCTTGCCTCAATAATTATGTATATATATACATATATGTGTGTGTGTGTGTATGTATATATATATATATATATATATGTATATATATATATTTATTTATTTATTTATTATTTTTTTTGAGATGAAGTCTTTACTCTGTCACCCAGGTTGAAGTGCAGTGGTGCGATCTTGGCTCACTGCAACCTCCGCCTCCCGGATTCAAGTGATTCTCCTGCCTCAGCCTCCCGAGTAGCTGGGACTACAGGCGTGCACCACCATACACAGCTAATTATCGTACATTTTAGTAGAGATGGGTTTTCATCTTATTGGTCAGGCTGGTCTTGAACTCCTGACCTCATGATCTACCCGCCTCTGCCTCCCAAAGTGCTGGGATTACAGGCGTGAGCCACCGAGCCCAGACTGATGTTAATTTTTAACCAGGACTCTTCTTTAAAAAATGAGACAAAAAAGCAAATTTTAAACCAAATGAAAACTTAAGAGGAGGATAAAAACTATAACTTTTTCTTGAATTAAAAAAAAAATGACCTAGATCTTTTTCATTTGAGTCAAACCAATAGGATGAAAAAAAAGGTCTCCAATTGTAACTTGGAAGACGTGTGCTCACTTTGCAGGATGCCAGGAAGCCCCACGGTATGTGAGGGGTGCTGGCTGAACAACGAGGGTACATCTGGAAAACTACAGAAAGTCAGTTCTGTGCTGAATAAAAGCAGAAGGCAGTTTGTGGGCCTCACATTGGCAGATAGGATTCTAACCCTCAAGAGGTCCATAAAGGGGATGTGGTCATTTATCTCTGTGAGAAGGAATGTCTTGGGCCACATTTCTGCCATGACCCTCTTTGGGGGGGTATTATGAATTCCCCTCCCTTCAACCCCAACCATGGGGACATAGATGAGCAAGACCCTCAGCAAATTCACTCCTATAGAGACCTGCAGGCCCCTAACTTTGCTATACTAAGTATCTCGCAGCTGTGGAGTGAGGTGGGAGAGTAATGGTCTTACTGTTAAGCGAAGGACCCACTTGTGTGAGAGAGAGAGGAACTGAGGGGTCTGTAGTTGTGGCTGACGGAAGTCTACCATAGGGAATTTTGGGCTGCATTCTTCCAGTACTATGAACCATACCCCTAGCTCCCAAAAAACCACGTGACCAGGTCTGCTGATGAGAGGGTTTGAGTAATATGATTTGCTTTAGATCTTTTTTGGAACATCATGGTGTACATCAGCATAGCAAAGGCTCTGAGAAGTCCAAGGGAAAGAAACCTGTTTAACTTTGTTGAATCAAGTATTCCACAGCATGCTTTTTTTTTTTTTTTTGAGACAGAGTCTCACTCTGCTGCCCAGGCTGGAGTGTGTGATCTTGGCTCATTACAACCTCCACCTCCTGGGTTCAAGCAATTCTCAGGCCTCAGCCTCCTGTGTAGCTGGAGTTACAGGCAATTCCCACCATGCCCAGCTAATTTTTGTATTTTTTGATAGAGACAGGGTTTCGCCGTGTTGGCCAGGCTGGTCTTGAACTCCTGACCTCAAGTGATCCACCAGCCTCGGCCTCCCAAAGTGCTGGGATTACTGGCATAAGCCACCACTCCTGGCCCCGACAGCATGCTTATTTGAGTAACTGACTATGGGGAAATGTAAAACCAAGGGCTTGAAAAACTATGGAGCTAGGATTTACTTTTTCCAGTAAATTTTGTTGACTTTTTTTTGAAGGCAGCATGTTGTGATGAAAACACTGAGTCAGGAGGAAGGAACCCTCTCTCCTGCATTAGCAATGTTGATAAAAGGTGACAATTTCTGTGGATCTCAGCTTTCTCACCTGTTCTATTTGACAGTTGCTCTAAAAAAAAAATTTAAGACTATGAAATCTGAGAAAATGTAATATTACCATCACTACGCCATTTAATAAATCTCACATAGATTTTTCTCAATTCAAAGAAAAAAGGTACCTACTTAATTAAACTGCAAATTAATTTACATATCTCTGTTATCCTTTTTTTTTTTTTAAGTGGGGGAAGAGGATAATATATTTTGAGTACTAAATTTTGCTACGCTATGTAAAATGTTTTACAGGTATTACACTAGCTTCCCTGCAAAAGAGGCATTTTTACCCCTCTTTGCAGATAAAGAAAACTGAGTAGGGGAGAATTTGCTAACTTGACTACAGTCACAGAGATGGTAGCTGGCACAGTCAGGATTTGAACCCAGGACTTCCTGATTCTAAAGCCACAGTGTTTGCAATATGTTACACAGCTACCTCCTTTAGCTGACAAACTAAAGGACTGTAGTAACACATACAAACCCAACTGCACCAGATTTGTACCTAGGTCTGGACACTGTGGCCTGGTCACTCATTTTGCAATGGAGATTAGAACCCAGGTTGGTTAGCTCCACACAGCATTTCCCAGCATCTGTGGAAAGAAAGCTCTCCCTCTCATCACCAGGTTTGTGACTGTCCATCTGCAGGACAACGGGATGGCTGCTGATCATCGTACTTTCAGCTGCCAATGAGAACTCATGGACTATTTTAATCCATAATTAAATAAAAAGCCAGCTGTTTCCATATGGAATCTAGTCTTTGGTAGCATTTCCCAAATCGTGTTTTAGGTTCCTTTCTTGAAAGACTTCTGGAGCTATTAATATGCCATCAACAAAGTATCTTTTCAAAGTGGGTGGGAGGCATAGACATAACAGGCAGTGTTTCCCAACTCATTCTACAACAGAACTCTTTTTGAGAAACATCTTAGAGGGCTAGCACTCTGAGGAACACACTTAGAGAAACACTAGTCTCCTGTGGGTTCATGTAAGACTTTAATCTCTTGGGATGTAGCAAAATGGGTAAAGTTATCTCCCTAGAGACTGGTCTAGATCATTCCACAGAAAAGATGGGTCAGATCAAGCCACCACTTAAGCAAATAGAACCCCTACATAGCAGGAGGCAGGGTGAGACAGGGTACAAGAGCCCAACCTCTGCCTAAGTTTGAATTCCAACTCTATCACACCAGCTTGAGCAAGTTCTTAACCTTATATAGTCCCTTGTTCTCTTCATTTGAACAGGGAGGATAATCACAGCACCCACTCCGTAATGAGTATGTGTACTTAGAATAGTGCTTGGCACATAGCAAACTCTATAAACTACTGTTTTGTTTTTTAACAATTTTTACCATTGTTATTTATCCAACTGTTCTCTATAAACAAACTGTTGTGTTTCAAAGAGGCAGCTAAGAAGATAAACAAATATGACTGGTGGCACTTACTTTAGTGTCTGAGCTTTAAAGTCAAATTTGGCTCTGGCAGGTCTCATCTGAACATAAGAAACAATGACAAGTTAAAATCAGGATTCATGTACAAGAAGGACACATTTTCACAAATTTCTAGAAAGCAAAGCAGAAAAATTCACTCTAGCCAGTTTGTTCTAGTATAGAAATCTGGACAAAATTGCATTTGTCTGACCTTAGACACTACATAAATATTCAGTCAACTATGTATGTCGTGCATAAGAATCCCCCTAAAAAGAGCCCAAAGCTGAGGGACTAGTTCCTCAAAACATGCTGGCCATGGCTAGTAAAAAAACATACAAACAAATTAACAAAGTCAGCCAGAAGTCCTAGGATGTTCCTTATCTACTGTCTAATTCCTTTGGGACATCTATTTGCTTAAATTATGATACGCAAGTAGATGAAATGCCAATTCACTTCTCACATCATCTCCAACTGCATATATTTCTTAAGATTTGTGACATCATCCAAAAAGCCAGATAAAGTGGTCTCTGAGCTCCAATGACTCCTCACAAGACTTCCAACCCTGCTGGGTAGCCCTGTCTTCCCAGATGCCCAGGTCTGAGTCAGCCTCTACCCCTTCTCCACTTCCTGGTCAAGTCTGTTGTTAAGTCTAGAGGGACCTCCCTCCATATCTCCACAACCCTGTCGCTTGAGGCTGACGACTAGTTCCCAGTGGCACAAAGCTTCCTTTAATTTCACATTCTCTTCACTCTAATCTATCACCCAGGAGCACAAGTAACATTCCTAACATTCTTCCTCGAATCTCTTCCTTGCTTTGAAGTTGGATGCTGCTCTCAACCTTCTCTCAGTTCAAATCTCAACTCCTGCCATAGGTGAAGGCCTTTGGGTGGTTTCTCCCTACTCTTACCAAATTGCCTCTATCTCTACTACACTGTTCCTGTTCCAGTCAAATCTATTTGCTACACCTCAGCTGAACCCCCTCCTACCCTTTTCTCTCTCTGGAATTTCTTTTTTTTTTGAGACAGGGTCTTGCTCTGTCACTAGGCTGGAGTACAGTGGCATGATCTCAGCTCACTGCAACCTCCGCCTCCCAGGTTCAAGTGATTCTCCTGCCTCAGCCTCCTGAGTAGCTAGGAATACAGGTATATGCCACCGCCCCTCTCTAATTTTTGTATTTCTCAGTAGGGGCAGGGTTTCACCATGTTGGCCAGGCTGGTCTCTAACTCCTGGCCTCAAGTGATCCACCCACCTCAGCCTCCCACAGTCCTGGGATTACAGGTGTGAGCCACCATGGCCAGCTGCAGAATTTCTTTTCTTTTTTTTTTTTTTGAAACAGGGTCTCACCCTGTTGCCCAGGCTGGAGGGCAATGGTACAATCATGGCTCACTGCAGTCTTGACTTCCTAGGCTCAGGTGATCCTCCCACCTCAGCCCCCTGCATAGCTAGGACTACAGCCATGCACCACCACGGCTGGATAATTTTTGTACAGATAGGGTCCCACTATGTTGCCCAGGCTGGTCTCAGGTTCCTGGGTTCAAGCAGTCCTCCTGTCTTGGCCTCCCAAAGTATTGGGATTATAGGTGTAAGCCACCGTGCCTAGCCTTCCACAGGTATTTTTGAAGTTTGCATTTTCACAATGTTGTTTTCATCTACTGCCTATCTATACCATACATATTGGGGCCAAGTGAATGATCACGTTATAATCAAGCTAAAGCCACACAATTTCAATACCTGTGTTTGTGTCTGTAACCAAAGAGCATAATTCACAGTTACAGGCGAACAAGAAAAGAATGGATGTGGAGTTAATGATGAATAACAAGTTCACAAGAGAAGACCAAATGACCAAAATTATAAGGATAAGAATTTCACAGTGATTCCAACAGAAAAATACAAAGAAGTAGGTTACCTCCTGTCACCCAGCTGTACAGCTGAGTGAACTTTAAAAAACTTATACTAAAAAGCAGCACCATATTCACACTTTGGTAACTGAGTTCTGTCAAAACAATAGCTCATATCAATTAAATTAATATAATTAGATAGGTGTATAATTTGTGATTAATTTGTAAATAGACTTAGGTTAATAAGGGGTGGTGGTGAGATTTTTTTTCATTAAAGGTTCATTAAAGTTCACTGATTCCACTGAACTCTTGAGACACGTATGAGAGTCACTGATGGTTATACAAAGTAGCATCCTCTCTCTCTTTATCTCCCCATAGCTTCCCAAGACTGAATCCATCTTTCTCTCCTCTGGCTTTCTCAGTTTCGTGTTACCTACTACAGGGGAGAGATAACCGTACTTTAGTAACTGTAGTAAGTGCTACCAATGCATATGGATGTGGGTATGAGAAAGCAGCATGTTGTGACGAAAACATAGTCTCCCTCTTCCACTATCAGCTCCCCAAGGGCATACAGACTGAGTTATTTCTGCCTCCCACAGGGTCTTACACAGAACCAGTGGTCACCCAAGTCCTATTCAATGGGACTGAAGTGCATTGACACAGTGGGATGCACCTGGGATGTGCTGGTTTCTACTTTTTCAAGTCCATCAGTCAAATTCTAGGGCAGTAATTCTCACAATGTGTTCCCTAAACTGATATCATCAATATCACCTGGGAAACTGTTACAAATGCAAAGTTTCAGGCCCCACTGCAGAATCAGAAACTTTGCAGATAGGACCCAGGGTCTGTATTTTACCAAGGCTTCCAGGAGATGCTAACATACTTGTCATTTAAGAAACGTTGCTCTACAAGCGAGGCAGGCTCATTGGGCAGAGTTTGCCTGCCTCTGTCCATGGTTATTCCACCCATGGTATATTTTTGTTTCCATATATCATCTACATGTGTAAGTGTGAAGCCCTAGTGCCTTTACCTGTTTCCATCTTCTTCTACTTACAAGCAGGTAGGACTGTGGGTGAGGACAAACCATGCCCAGAGCCTTCTGAGAAGGGCCATTTTGAGGAGGAGCTGGAATGTTGAGGGCTCAAGGGCTATCTTTTCTTTGCAATTAACACTTGCTAACTTTTGCTTCTTCCTGGATAGATTTTCTTTTTCTCCATCACTTTAGAGACTCCTTCTCCACCGAGCTTTCTTTTTTCTTTTAAATTTGAGATAGGTTCAAGTTTCTTTAAATTTGACACAGGGTCTCACTCTGCCACCCAGCTGGAGTGGTGTGTTCATAATTCAGCCTTGAACTTTGGGGTCAAGTGATCCTCCCACCTCAGGCTCCCAAGTAGCTATGACTATAGGCGTGTGCCACTAAGCACACTGGCTAATTCTTCGGTTTTTCAATTTTTTTTTTTTCTTTTGTAAAGACGAGGTCTTCCTATGGTGCGTAGGCTAGTTTCGAACTCCTGGCCATGAATGGTCCTCCTGGCTCGGCCTCTCAGTATGCTGGGATTATAGACTTGAGCCACTAAATCTAGCCAGCTTTCTTTTAATTTGGTTCCTTCTTTTCACTATCTCTTCTTCCCAGACACCTGCTGTTTTTTTTTGAGACAGGGTCTTACCCCTGCTCAGGCTAGAGTGTAGTGGCATGATCATGACTGTGCAGCTTTGACCTTCCAGGCTCCAGCGACCCTCCTGCCTCAGCCTCCCAAGTAGTTGGGACTACAGGTGTGTGCCATAACGTAGGCCTATCTGCCAACCTATCTAATTAATTAATTAATTAGAGATGGGGGTCCCACTATGTTGCCCAAGCTGGTCTTAAACTCCTGGGCTCAAGCAAATCTCCCACCATGACTTCCCAAAGCACTGGGATTACAGGTGTGAGTCACTATGTCCAGTTGTATTTCTTA